CCCCAAGTCCCCACCCTAAACCCCAGGTCCCCTGTCCCCCCCCATAACCCTAAAGGTGTGTTCTGAAGTGATGCTCCTGAGTGTGTTCTGAAGTGATCCCAAATGGGTGTGTTCTGAAGTGATGCTTCTGAGTGTGTTCTGAAGTGAGGTTGTCACCGGAGCCAGCTGATGATCTTTCAATATGTCGATACTTAGATGATGTATATAATTATGTGGGTATATGTCGATTTTTGATGATTTTTGACTATATTGCATAGACAACCTGAAGCCAAGTGAGAAATGAATGCGTGATCAATATATAGTGAGTGGTCTCTGTAGATGGAAATGTATGTAATGGATACATGCACAGGTATATATAGAATAGATACGTACACTGCGCGTGTATGCGTGTACACGTGGGTACCACAAGATCTTACAAGCATATCGAATGATGGATGCTGTCTTAAGGGCCCCACGCATTTGTTCTGGCGGTTGTGTTTTCGGAAGAGTGCCTCAATACTCATTCGGCATTCGCTTTAATCGGATAGCTGCCCTAGGTCTACAAGATCATCGACAGATCTGAGGGGTTCTACATCAACAAGGCCACTTGCCCTTTGGACTTTGGAAGCTGCTTTTGACATGGTGGAGTTGGTGGGCTGAGGTGTCACCTTCATATCGCTCCCAAACAACCATTTGCTTCACCTTTGGCAGAGATGCTGCTGTTCAGCGCGAGCCCCTTGTTCTGCAGATGAGAATAGCTTCTTTGGCACATCAATTCCGCTGCGACGCAGTGGCAAGATGAAATGCTCACAGCTTTCTTTGTCAATTTTGTCAGACCGACTTGTCAGAGTGCAAGCCATCTGGGCAAATCCTGAATACCAGATAATACTGCTGAGGAACCTCCAGAAATCTTCAAAATCACACCGTTGTAACATGTTATCACCGCGAGTCATGCCCATTGATGACTGCACATATTACACATAATACACAAACATATGTAATGATATGTAATATGTAATGTATATATATATAGATATAAATATATATATATCAGAATATACACGGCGTTGTACATACTGTACATACCAAGACTATCCAAGACCTCGCCTTGCTCCAGCTGCGCCAGTGACACAGGTGGGCTGGCAGTATAACAGCCAAAGTGAAGTTGACGGAGCTTGAAGAGGTGCGCTTTTTGAGGGGAGACCAAAAATCCGAGTTGGTGAACCACTGGTGATAGGGGCAAATCAGCTTTACATGTATGCATATATATATATGCATATATTATATGTATGTTATATATATATGTATATATGTGTGTGTATATGTATATATGTATTTATGTACATGTACACACACACATATATATATATGTACATAACTTGTTCTGTGCATATATGTGTATAGATTTGTTTTCTCTGTGTGTGTGCGTGTTTGTATCATGCGCGGTTGTCGAGCTAAACCAACAGAGAGGGAAATACATTACATGACACGTACATCATTAAAGACTTCCTTCAATTCGTCTGACGTTCTTCATGTATATTCAAGCCCGTCATGTCGCTACACGTTTCGTCCCGGCCAGGCTTTCATGAAAGAAGCCAAAGAGCGCGGAATGAACGGCCTCGAAGGGCATCCAGTGTCTGGCAGAACAGGGAGCAGTTTTCAATTCTTTTTCTATTTCAATTTCTATCATTTTTTATCATTTTCTATCAATGCGTCATCTCATGGGTCATGTCCAATCTCGGGCTGTTGAGAATGCTGAGCGCCTTTTGTGTGGCAAATTTCAGGCTCGAAGTTTCGCCCCTTAGGCATTCGGTGGCATCCGCATTTGCCTTTACAACGGCTTGCCTGATACAGCTGTTGATGAGGCACCCGCCATGAGAGGCAATAGTTTAAATCGTTTCCATCAGTTACAAATTGTGTATATTTGAGTGTGTGTGTGTGTGTGTTTATCATTGTTTATCTCATGTACATATGTACCTATCAATATATATATATAATGTGTATATATATATACGCATACATGAGTGAATTCTGGGTCAGAAACTATCGAGCCGAATCAGCGTCAAAATCCAAAGATTCGGATCAGCGTTGCAGAATCAGCGTCAAAGACGATCCTGGATTAACATCCTGTATAAAGGGTCGGGATGGTCGGGATGAGGGTTTCTTTGCGGTTTCCTTTGGTTTCTCTACAGGTTTCTTTTGGAATCTTTTGGGTTCCTCTAGGCATACATTCATACATTCATTCATTCATTCATACATTCATACATTCATACATTCATACATTCATACTATACATATGCAGCATATAATCCTGGTTGAAATTCCCCTTACAAAAAGGGAAGCCTTAAGCTATTTACAAAAGGAGCATTTTGTAATAGACCCAGCTTTTGAGGCCTGCATTTCCTGAGGAAGTGCAATGACACCGGTCCAGAGTCAAGAAATTGCAAAAAGTTTTTTGTAAGGATCTTGCTGGGGACTTTCAAGGAACGCCGGTCTAGAGTTAGGAAATAGCAAAAAACATGTTCTAACTGTTTTGGTAGGAATTTCCCAGGAACACCGGTCTAGAATTAAGAAATTGCAAAAAGGTTTTCGTAAGGATCTTGCTGGGGACTTTCAAGGAACACCGGTCTAGAGCGAGGAAATTGGACACAGTTTTTTTTGTAAGGATCTTGCTGGGGACTTTCAAGGAACACCGGTCTAGAGTTAAGAAATTGCAAACAGTTTTTTGAAAGGATCTTGCTGGGGACTTTCAAATCTTTCAAGGAACACCGGTCTAGAGCTAGGAAATTGGAGAAACCATGTTGTAAGGATCTTGCTGGGGAAGTGCAATGACACCGGTCTAGTGTTAGGAAATTGGAAGAAACATGTTGTAAGGATCTTCCTGGAGACTTTCAAGGAACACCGGTCTAAAGTTAAGAAGTTGCAAAAAGCATTTGGTAAAATTTTTGGTAGGGATTTCCCAGGAACACCGATTTAGAGTTAAGAGCATTGTGTGAAGATTTTCCTCTGTTGTATAGCATTTTGTAGGTGTTTCACTGTTGTTCTTTTACAAAATGAGGATCCCTAACCCTTCCCATCAAATTACGAAGAGGACTGCATATACATATACATACACATACATATACATATACATTTACATTTACACTCATACACACACATACACACACATACACAGACATACACAGACATACACAGACATACACAGACATACACAGACATGCATACATACATGCGTGCGTGCGTACATACGTACATACGTACATACGTACATACGTACATACGTACATACGTACATACGTACATACGTACATACGTACATACGTACATACATACATACATACATATATATGTGTGTGTATGTTGTTTTTTTTCCTTGCCTTGCCTTGCCTTGCCTTTCCTTTCCTTCCTCTCCGCCCCCTTCCTCTGGTACCCCTGGTGCCTCGCACGGGCAGGTGCTCCTTCTCTTGCAGGACTTTGCCGTGGCCTTCGGTGGGAAAGCCATTTGCGCGTTCAAACACGGCGAACTTTGTAACTGCAAGGCCCGCCTTTTTCCAGGATCAAAGTATTATATAAGTAAGTATTCTGTCATTACCTAGTGGATGTGACGGAAAAAGGTTCATCCTCTCCAGTGAAATATGAATGTATGCCACCCAGCGAACGTGAAAGTATTTCGCAGTGTGACTGTGGAGATTCAGTTTAGTGGTAGCCTATGAAAGCACAAGCTCACATTCACAGCAGAATGCACGCCATTTGCTTGCTGCAGGCCTGTCAGTGCGACAGGAAAGCAAGCACCATGGCAAGATTGCTTGCTTTCAAGATTTTCTTGAGGGTTTTCCCATGGTTTTCCCATGCTCAATTGGTGTTGCTTTGACTCGAGGGGCGCAGCACATTCTTTTAAAGTCTTGGGCCCTGGGCCGCTTTTTGGGATCGTATCCATCATGACCATTATGAAAACAAGGTAATCCTCATCGTTACCCTCACCCTCATCCTCACCTTTCATCCTCACCCTCACCCTCATTACCACCAACAACAACACCACACCACCACCAGCATCAGCATCAGCATCAGCATCATCATCATCATCATCATCATAATTTTCTTCATCTTCGTCTTCATCTTTCTCCTCCTCGCTGTTACCATCACAAGTACCATCATCAAAACCGCCATCATTCAGACCCTCATCACAACTACTATCATTAAGCGTGATCACTGATTCTTTGCATTCAGCCAATAGGTCCCTCATTGTCCTTGTCTATTCCTGGCGACTCCTGTCAGCTCACATAGGTAAACTGGAAGATCTTTGGAGAGTACCCCGACTCGCTCCAACACGGATGCGCTGTCGGGCTCCCAATGCGGCAGTGTTTGGCGAGCGGTTTAAGTCTCAGATCATAAATTCAGATAAAATACGTCGCCTTTTGGAACAGCGCAAATCAAGCAAAATCGTTACTTTTTGGGGTTTTACGGCTTTACGGGGATTCATGAAATTCAAAACTGCAAATCACTTGAGATGACTGAGGATCTGAGGACAGAGAAGCAGATGCGGAGGCAATACGTGGGACATGGTGGGATGAAGAGAAAGGCACAATTGGTTCTGAATAATTCTGACTCTCGGGTGCCATTCAAGTCCTTTCTGATTCTATCGTAGCGATTTCCAGTGAATCGTACGTTGTGAGGCTTACGTCAGTCACATCATGATTGTCAGACAGTCGACTACTTTGCTCAAGCGCCCCAGAAATATGGAAACTCCCCAACTGAACCACGTGTGACGCTTCGTCTGCTGATGGTTTTGTGGGATACAGGTTGGACATTTTTGGCATTTGTAGCGGCATGCCACAACATAGAGGCTGCTACTGTACTATGTGTTGCAGGTGTTGTCGAAGACAGACCAGCTGGATAAGATTGAGAGGATGTGAATTGGTGACAGGTGCATTGCATCATACCTCCGAAGAAGCCCGTTGAAATTGATGCCCATTGAAAACAACTTTTGCACTATTTACCATTGAATTGCCCAACACAATAGACATTCCTGGTGTTCCTCAGGTTTCTGAGGTGTGATAGTGTTTATAAGTCCAGATCTTCAAGCTTGCCCCTCAATGTTTTCCTAGTTCTGTCTTCCCAGTTCAGTTTTTCTTCCTTTTTCTTAGTCTGAACAATTTCCACTATCGGGGGCGAGGGCGACGAATGACGAAAGTCATAGGAAATTATTGCTTGATGCAAGTACGGAGCCCAGGCTCCTGCAGTGGCTGTCCATGGCTGCCCTGCTTCACTGGGGCTCGGACAATGCTGGTTTTGCGGCCAGCTGGCAAACATAAACAAATACATACAGTCCAGTACATTCCAGTACGTTATGTTGACATTGGCATTACAGCACAGCACATTACATGACACTGATACTGACATTGACATTACTGTACATTGACATTGACGTCACATGACAATACAGGACAATACATCACATTGACATTGACATTGGCATTTGCATTATATACATCAAATATCATCAAATGGCATTGATATTGACATTGACACTGACATTGCATTACGGCATCTTACATTGCATTAAATCATTACATTGACATTACATTACATTACATTACATTACATTACATTTTATTACACTGCAATGACATTAAGGTAACATTCGCACTGGCATTATATTACTTTACATTACATGCACATACATGCACCCGCACACACAAACATACAATGTGTATATGTGTATATGTGTGTATATGCATATCAGTATATACAAATATACTGGAACTGCCCTACATGGCCAAGGGCACAAGTCCATAGTGGCCCCCAAACAGATAGGAAAGAGAGATCAGAATCATGAAGTTTCCGGACAAAAAGTGTAAGGACAGCAAAGATAACCATTTAATGCATTCTTCGTTACGCAATGTGCGCCCTTCATTTTTCCCATCAAAACTGGAGCTGTCCAGCCCATGCCTCGACCGAATGTTGGGGCCCGAGTTCTGCATTGGAGCTGGCAATCTGAAGCGGTCAGCGGTGTGACAAGTCAAACATGCGCAAGCAGGGAAAACCATTGATACAGATGTGGGAGATGCTAATGACTAAATTAATTTAAATGTTGGTGTATTCTTGTTGGAGGCTGCAAGCTTCCAATGAATTACATAAACATGGTTCAATCGTGGAAAGTGTATAAGCCAACTTGAAGCCATTCAAGTTGAGAGTCTTAGCTGGGTGTCTCCCAATCAATTCAATTCAGATTGCCACTGTTCATTTTCCGAAAGGCATGGCTCGGCTGCATGTCGACTTGAAGTTTTACTCTGTAAAAAAGCGCTTGAGCGCACCTCCTTTCTCGAGTGGAGATTACTCCTGGCGTCTTAGTCTCCAGTGCCTTCCTGCACAGCCACATGAGATTCTTGTTGTCCAGAGCTTTCTTATCTAATTATGTTTGTGTTGCCCCTGTACTCGAGAAATGGCATGTTCAGCGGTGTGCTCAACGATTTGTTGATATTGCCAAATGGCCCAACAATTCCGGTGAAATGCTTGTAGCAGACCGGGAGCTGGGCCGAGGGTGCAAATGATGATCATTGATGGACCAGTCCATGAAACAAGACCCACTGCTCCAAAGACTCGACGGGAAACGCTTCAAAAAGTAAGTATGAATAGTTACATCATACAGATTGTCTATGTTTATTCCCCAAACAGTGTGTCCACACTGAGGGGTTCTTACGATAGGGGTCAAGGCCGGTGCTTGATTGAGGTGCTCACTCTGGCTTCCCATCATTTTTCCGGTAAATTTTCGCATAAAGGGGCTCAAGGCTCTAAAATTGTTTTGACGTGTCCATATGCATTTCGACTGCGTAGTCCCGCACAAAGGTTGGTCCCCGATCTTGGTCTACGGCATTTTGCTTGAAAATTCTTGCGCAAATGGCTTTTACGATATGATGAAGCGCATTCCGATTGCACATGCTCGTACAAAGTCTGGGTCGTAGCCTTGGGATCGGTCCTCCTCCTCCTCAATATCACTACTGGTTCAGGGTGGTAACTTGTGTCGCATTTGTCTTCTTGTGCCGCAAACGGTGTGCCGTTGGGAAATACATGATATACAGGTAATTCTTGCTGGATAAATCAATTGTTTGCGGCATTGATTTTGCTAGCACTTTGCAAGGGCGCACATGTTTTTGAGACATTCCTTTTGAGATAAGACTCCAACTTGGGGATGGCTTCACACAGAAGAGACAACAGCAGAAGAGACTATATATACAGAAGAGCAGAGAAGAGGATCGAATTGAAGAGTAGAAGGAAGCTATTATAAATTATAGAGGTTTAGGGCAGAGAAGGGAACAGTAGAAAAGATTGGAGCAGAGTCGAGAGGACAGTAGGGAAGAATAGAATAGAGTAGAGTAGAGCAGCCTAGAGCAGAGAAGAGTAGAGAGGTCAGTAGGGCAGAGCAGAGATAGGTAGAGCAGTCTAGAGTGCCTTGCCCTGCTGCCTTCCCTTGCAAAACCCAGATCTTGTACAGATCTCGCAAAAACCTCGTAAGGATCTCGTAAAAATCACATTGTCAAGCTGTGCCTTGAATATCTCAGTGCCAATGTGCTGCGTTGTTCAGTGCTGGAATGTTCCTGGTGTGCCACTAGGAGAAACGTTTTGTTAGTATATTTTTCCAGTGTTGGAATGGCAGAGTCCTCCAATGAGAATGGCATGTAGAACTCTGACCTTCTAGAAGTCAAGTTGATTGGTGCGCCATACAGTTTAATTACAACGCTTTGTGTCAGGCATAAGTCAGATAACCCAAATATGGAAAGAGTTGCTATCATAGAAATTTCATGAAGACAATATGCACATGTATGAATAGGTGTCGGCGGTGTCGGTATGCCGTGGTGATTTGGCTATGGCACAAGATCTTTAGGTGCTGGGTTAGATTAAATATAAAATAATGAAGAAAAAATGTCGATTGTAATATAAATTATTATTAATATTTAGATTATTTTCTTCTTTTTTATATTTTAACATATATAAATTAATATATGGTTTGCGATTTATAAAGGTCCATGTAAGGGTATTTAATTCTGAAAGCCTCTAGGGTTCCAACATTAGACCCCGCGATTTTTTTCTGAATTTGCGAAAATATATTTTTTTTCGCGAAAATTTGGTGGAAATTAAATATTTTGAATTACCATAAATGCACTATATAAATATATAATATAATATAATTATAATTTCTTGTACGGAGATAATTTTGGCATTATTTTATGAATAATTTTGACGTGATTTGATATAGCTAAATAGGATTTTTTTTCGCGAAAGATTTGCGAAGAAGTGGGGGAAAATTAAAATGCATTTTGAAGGGAATGATTTAATAAGATTTGTAAAGAATATTTATATACTTAATATTAATTTATAATATTAATTGTAAATTTATAAAATTATGAAGAATTTATTTTTAATACTTTATTATAATTTAATATAAATAAATATATATAATATATAAATATATTTTTGTGGATTATTAAATATAATAATAATTTTTACGTAAAAATATAAAATAATCGAAAAAATTATAGTTATTTTTTATAAAAAATATTTAATTACAAATAAATATTTAAGAAATTAAATATATATATATAATTATTATATATAAATAATAAAAAAATTATTATTATATATATGGATATATATATTGCAATAATTTATTTAATATATAATTTAATATTTTATAAATTATTTATATATAATAAAATTTATTTATATATATAATATTTAATATTTTATCTTATCTATATTTATATAATTTATTTAATAATTTTATATATTTTAAATAAATATTTAATATATATATATAAGGAGGGCCTTCAATGAGGGAGGCTGAAAACAGCTACCTGTAGCGATCCCACACTCGGACTTTTTGCACACACAGAACGAGGCCCCACTTTAGGTCACGGCAGCGGCTTCCCCTCCCCGCACCCCTCGGATTAAGGTTGCTTCAAAGAGCACACCAGAGCAAGAGCCAACTTCCAAAGAGGTCTTCATAGCAACACGTTTTCGTCAATCTTGCAAAGGTGTGTGTACCCAACTTT